GTTTGCAAACATTTCATCACCAGCCACTTCAAAAGCACTGATAATGTCACTTCGGCTGATGATGAAACGTTTGAGCCTTGGGACACGATCACAGACAACTCAAAACCGATGTTTGTGGTGCGCTTGTTGTAGCAGGTATCTTTGAATACAAGTCAATTATATGCTTTGTGCGTTGAGGTGAATATTCGGCAATCACACATGGTCCACATTCACCTTCAACCAGCGTTTGAGAAGATACCGGTGAAACTAATTCATCTCAACCGATAAGCAAACCAAACCGAACAGTGATAGTATGCTTTTAATCCGTGTCCAGTTGATGAATGTTTTTGAATTGTTGTCCAAACTCAGGCAAGGTTGATGGGATCCTCTGTGTATAAGACGAAGTTGGGCGAGTTGGTCCAATTGTTTCAAAGATAAAGCACATCTGTCAAACTAAACAAATGATTTCACCTCTCTTTCTAGAAAGCACCGGTTGTGCCTCCGATCTTCGTCTTCGTAGTTGACACTTGTATAGAGGAGCCGGAATTCACCCAACTCAAAGTATGTTCGAATCGTTGGTTTTCTCCTTTTTTCCTGCGGCACTTTTTAGGGCTAGTCTCGTTGATGTGTGTTGCCTTAGAAATAACGGTAATTTCAAGTGATGGTCAACTTTTGCATTTGACACAGTTACTTGTGAGTAGTGTTGTGAGATAATTGAAATTTATTTTATTAGAACTGACCGTCCATCAGACTTCACCTTCATGCACATTCCTCAAGCTCTTCCAGTCAGTCCGAGTGTATGATTGACTGGAAGAGGTTGTGGAATGTGCGTGAAGGTGAAGTCTGATCAGCTTTGTCGTCCCTCGGCCGCTAGTCACAACCCTTTTTTAGTGGAGCCTTATGTGGATCTCTCCATTCCAAGTCTTAGGATTGAATTTACTGGTTCTCGTATTTAAATAGCGGTATCGAGGATTATCTCTTCTACTGTTTATCACGGTGGGATAAGCAAATCGTTCGAAACCAGGAGCAGTGTTCGTCAAGGGTGCCCTGTTTCGCCATTCTTGTTCAATTTCGTTATAGACGAAATACTGGAGAAGGAACTAAGTGGTCTCCGAAATTTTGGTATTGTATGGGCAGCTGGAGAAAAGCTGTATGATTCAGAGTACGCTGACCACCTGTGCGAGTGTATGGAGGATGCGCGAAGAGCTCTTGACAGACTTTCAACTTCTGTAACTTCATTCGGTATGCGCTGTACACCTTCAAAGTGCAAAGTTATACTACTATCTTGGATGTCATCGACCCCACGTTGACGCTTGGTGGTCAAGACTTAGCTATGGTGGAATATTTCTCCTACGTAGCTGCCTTACAAATGACAGTAGCATAGTCAATGAAGTAACCTGCTACATTTCCAAGGCACAAGCAGCTTATACAGGTCTGAATCACCTTTGGTGTAGACGCGATGTTTCGTTGAAACTGAAAGGTCGTGTATACTGTGACAGTGCCGTCAGTTCTGCTTTATGGTTGTGAGACCCCTAATTTTCGCGTGAAAGATATTCGTCGTCTAAAATTCTCTAACTGTTGATGTTTTTATGGTTTGGCGCGGTTAAATGGAGCGAGCGTGTAAACAACCCGGAGGTAAGGCGTGGCGTGTTTGGTAATGATTCGATGGAGAATTCGTTGTCCCATCGAATTTAGATTAGTCAGCTTCGCTGGTTAGGACATATTGCGCATGGCCACATCACGCCCTACTTACAGTTGCGGCTCCAGGTTGGAAGAAATCACGTGAAGGTTAACAGATATCGTGAACACGAAGGTTGAAGAAATGCACAGGGCGATTAGATAGGGTGGGTGTCTCTCGTCTTCCAGTTTGGGGTCCAAAACACTCCGTAACCGCATGGTTGGAGACACTGAAGGATATGGCGGCAAACCAACAGAAGTGGCGTTCTTGTTATCATTTTCTTATCACGTCCGAATGCTTGAAAACGTATGTATGCACAGTTAGATTTTGTACTCTGTGTGTTGACCATAGAAGTCCACTTTCTTTGCCTCCCTCTAGTTAGGCTCAATCCCTCCATCGTATACTTTATCACTTAATTTGTATACATTGTGTAGCGATCAGCAAAGTTCGCCTCACTCTATTTTGCTATACGATGATGATATTGATTACGTGATAGTGGTTAATGAAGAAATATGAGTTGTTATAATCATAGCACCTAAGTCCAACGAAACACGAGAAATTTGATCCGTTTTCTGTTTTATTGGCCCCATAATCTTTTTCTCGTACTATCGTGTGGTTTACTATTTGTTTTGTAGGAATCCCTGCAAATGTCACTCAGTTTTCTTCCACCGAATGCACTTGTCGGTCTAATCACATTTGGAAAGATGGTACATGTGCATGAACTTGAGGCCGGTCCAATCACCAAATCGTGGGTGTTCAAGGGCACCAAAGATTACACAGGCAGCCAAATTCAGGCAAGTTGCGACACAAGGTTGCAAGTGATGAATGGTTTTCTTTCTGATGGTTTACCCTCGGCAAACTGTGTGTTACGTGCCGGGGTGGCCAACCGTGCCGAAGAAAAGAGCTGCGTCCTTAGGAAAAACTAGCTGTCCTTGTTTAGATTGTGTTTGATTAAAGAATTATTTTGATCTGGTGTGATTGCGGCTCATTTGTCAGCATGGCGTGGACAACTAAAGCGATTTGAAGGTTGTCGATATGTGGTTGCGTGAATTTCGAATCGGATTCAGTTTCCGATCATGCCGCCCAGGAAATCGTTTCACGTGACTAGCCGAAAATCCCGGTATGGCCAAAATCGCTGTCTTAGGTTGTGATCCATATCCCTTTCTTACCACCTGCAGAAACTCTCCTATGCTACCACGATTCTCAAATAACCTCTACTGAGGACCCAATTACTGCCTTCATGTGGCAGAGATCTTTCTCTATCAAAGTGGATGGATAATTCACTTCTGGGTCTGTAACCTGATCAGTGAACCACTGATAGTTCACCTAGGGCAGCTGGCTAAAACCCTGTTTCCTAACCGACCGAGAACGAACATACGAACCACACACACTTTCCTGGTTCCGTTAGGTGTCACCAGCCTGGTTGGACATTGAGGTATGTATCTTTGACATCTTGTAGTTCGACGCACTTGGCATTGGGACCTATTGATCTGCAGTTTGCATACACCACCCCTGTCTTGCATGCCAGGTTTTGGTTAGCCAGGGAGTCCAGTGGTGCATCACCATGAGAATTCGCCGGCTTTGAGTTGGCAGCTTGACAGTATTCCGCCTATGAGCAAATTATCAGTCCATTTTTGTGTTATAACGATTGCTTTTTGCTTTTGTCATACTTACTCGTTAACGCACAGGTGCATCAGTCAATGAATAATAACTAATAATAACAGAGGTAACTAACGGACAAGTGGGCGCAATGGTTAAGTCGCTGTCCCCGGCGTGCTTTAGACCCCATGGTCCGAAGTTCGAACCCTGCAACCGCTACCCAGCTTTGATGGTAGGCAGCGTTGTTGTCATCCGGTTCAATACCACGCCTAACCTAGCGGAGCCTTATGTGGTTTACCACTCCAAATCGCCGGGCTTAAGTTACCGGTTCCCATCACTAGACGTCAGGTCCTCGTGACTTTGGTGTTTACCCCGTCTACTAGATGGATGAACACAAAAATCTTCATTGTATCGGTTCAAGTTGTACGGTTCAGTTTCTTTATCCTAACTTGCTAGTCATTTCACTTGATGCACAAGAATATCATCTCCCCATTCAAGTGTTTCTATTGGTCTGTGAAACACATCTTTGGATATGGGGACACATGACATACCTATCAGCTACAAATAGCTCTTCGTTCACCGTGTTTGTCAAACCCGATTGATCAACTTTGATGTTTTCTACCGGTCCTTTCCTATTTTTATGGATAATGTATATCACCAACTCTGAAATACCGTAACTGGTTTGCTGGCGACTGAAAATGTTCCGGTTGTCAGGCCAGAATGCCCAAAATCTGTGCGCGCAGTCATTCCCGGTGTGTTAACCATAGAGTTTCACTTTGTGCCCTTTTCTTAAACCTGACCCGTTTCTCATCCACCTTGCATATTTGTACTTTGTGTATAATTACAAGCAAGGCAGTGATCAGTGCATTCTGTTTTTTTTCCGCTGTATGTTGGTGATGATGATGGTTATCGCTTTCCCGGGTTATTGGTTCCCGGTTTCTCTCGCTCTTTCACGTCCTTCCTACGCATATGTGATTGTGTTTGAAAATGTTTCCCAGTCAACACATATTCACTCTCAATTTCATCAGAAGGTTGATATGTATAAAGTAAGTAAATCGTTGTGCTCACCAACATTGTTATAAATGACTCACAATAAGCTCTCGATAACGATCTATCGGTGGTCAAACTCGCATCCTTTGTCTCTCTGTCACTGCCATGGTTAGTGAATTAATTGGGCGATCACATCTAGCCTAACCGATCGTAACACCTGAAACCAATTCCTCACTTACTTTTTCACGGATTTGCTTCCATACATGCAGTCCCCCCTTGTTTCACAACGCTTACTTTCATCGATCTCGGGCCTAGTTCAGTAGAGTCCATGGTGTACGTATACATACATGTCTGTTCTCGCTCACGTTCTGACACTGGCTTGGTTATTCAATGTCCATAGTTACTCATCGTGTCTTTCTGTTTCGCCCGGACAGCTCATGCTCGGTGTTGGTCGTAGTGCCACCGGTCCGGGTGGTGCAGTGGGTGGTTTCGCTGGTCGTCCAGCACCGGGACCTGGACAAAAAGGTCCAATTGGTGTGGATCAAAATCAAATGGCCCAGTTACCTTATAACCGGTGAGTGAGGATACCACGGTCGTTACATACGTTATTTGTTTTTTTTTTCAAAGAAAATGCGTTTTCATTGTCGGAATGATTTTTCGATGGAATCATCATTTTGAAGGGAGCTTAGTCATAATGATTAACAATGCAGCTCAAAGTCGTATGCCAAACAACTTCTGAGATTCATTTGGCATGGATTTGGAAAGCGATTCCAGAAACCGTTCGTTCGACAAAAGATAAAATCGGATGAGCTAAGCTTCATTCGAAAGATGACTGCACGGTAGGAGCTGAAGAAGATAAAGGAAGATAATTTAGGAGAACGGGTATAGCAAAATTAAATTGACTCAAGCCAGAAGGGTTAGTGTGACATTCACCCCTGCGAATTGTTTTGATGATTACTATTTTACGCACATCAAAAAATCTTCTAGACTTCTAGTTATAGGAATGGATTTGTTGAGTGAGTGTATATCGGGTAAAATATTATCCGAATAAACCATCAGTTCACATTGTAAGACGAGCACACAGTAGAGAACATGCTCGTCTGCGGTGATTCACCTACACGCTAATACATCACAATTTATCTTCGCATTTGACTCACAGTTACTCGTGAGTAGTGTGTGTGTGTGAGAGAGAGAGAGAGAGATAATTGATACTGATTGATTTGAACTGGCTATCCTTCGGACTTCACCTTCACGCACAATCCTCAGTTCATCGATTCAACCGTACACTCGGAAGCACTTGATTCGAGTTTCGCTCTTACTAGAGCTCATCGGTAGTGCATATCCACCGTCCAGTCCGGGATTTGATTTCCGGACCCATCACATAGAAGGCGTCTGTTACCACTGTGCCAACCAGATCATGCCATGGCCCGACGGCAACGAAGGGAGTCACGGATGACAACCTATTAACTGCAATGGAAAGCTTCCCACTAAGTCAGGACTTCCATGCAGGTTACGGGCTGACTTGCCGCATACCTACCTATCTTCGGTGGATATGCACTACTGATGAGCTCTAATAAGAGCGAAACTCGAGTCAAGTGCTTCGAAGTGTATGGTTGAATCGATGAATCGAGGATTGTGCGTGAAGGTGAAGTCCGAAGGATAGCCAGTTCAATTCAATCAATCACAATTTATGTCAAAACAGTTTAGTAGGGAAGAGAAAATATGATAAAATGAGAAGAGAACTGATCAGCATTTCATCTCCATGATCGGATTTTGCTCATATTTTGGTCATCACACATTTGCATTGGTTAGAGTCATCAGAAACGGGTGGGGGATGACTGTGTCATGTGTGTTGGCCGTGGAAGACCGAGCGATCCTACTCACTGTTTTTTGGGGGAGCTTATGAGGGGGGGGGAGGGAAATTATGTAGGTGGAGATGATGTTTGTGGGATCGGGTTCGTTGGAGTTGGTACAATGCGTACGAGATCAAAGTTGAGAGTCACAAACGGGAATCGAAAATTCGTTTACCTGTGGACGCAGTCGTAGGATACTTAGGAGCCTTACATTTCGTTGTTAGGTAATACATGAATACGTTATCTTACCCGATGGGGAAACCGATATGGGCTCACCCGGATTGACATCCAATCAGTTCAACTTTCTCCTCATTTCGCGTTAATTGCATCGAGTGGCTCATCAATAGCGGCACTGGACTTCTCAACCAATTAGGTGTCAAGATCCCTGGTGTGGATTTGTGGTACTAGGTAGACATCTTTTGTTGTGGTGTCCTATTTGCTGTCTTGCTCAGTAATGATTGAATGGAATAGAGAATGTCAGGAATAACAGTCTCCCGCTGAACACAATGTATATCTTTTGATTAGGTTGTCGGAACAACCGGTCTACAGTTTTGCGAATGTGTGGTGACCTAAGTAGCTGTATCCGAGGCTTCCGTTTTCACGTTCAGCATCGCCTTTGCCTCTTATCACTGATTCCCTTAATCCTATCAAACCTAACTGCTCCCGGTTGCTTCATATCAGTTTCATTCAACCTATGGAAAAATGTGATGCACTACTCACCGATTTGCTCACTGAATTGCAACCGGACCCGTGGCCTGTGCCCCAGGGTAAACGTCCCCTACGCTCGGTCGGCTCAGCCTTAAGTATCACTGTTGGTCTGTTGGAAGCAGCATATCCGAATACCGGAGCACGAATCATGCTGTTCCTCGGTGGTCCATGCACTCAAGGACCCGGTATGGTGATTGACGAGGATTTCAAAAATGTCATCCGATCTCATCATGATATCGAGAAGGATAACTGCAAGTATATGCGAAAAGCCATGAAGGTTCGTTTTAGACAATTGCGATTTTCCATTTCATCATCATCATCATCATCATCATCATCATCTCTCTCTCTCTCCATGATTCTAATCCATCCTCATTTGATAGGTACTCATCGTCTATGTAACTTGAAGCATTTGCTCCTAGATCACAACATTTTCTCCCATAAATCCAACCATCCCCTGTCATTGTTATTGTTATCATTGTTGTGGCGTTGGCACCATAGTTGTCCGAGGGCCGGTGTTATATATATATATATATATATATATATATATTACTGTTATTACCTAACCTCCCGTCAATTGCCGTACTTTTCCACGGGCTTTTAGCTGTGTGCAAACCACATATTACATTCTTTTATTTCACATGATTTATTCACTCGTCAATCTCTCCATTTTTCATTAAACTTAATTAAAAGTAATCTTTGTTAGAAAAAGAAATGTGATAAACACTAAACTCATTATCCATTGTTACCAACATCAGGAATCATCGTTGCGGTTTCGCAGGGTGCTTCGTTGTAGATAATGCTATCCTGTTAACAACTTTCTTCTTATTTTTGCTATTCCGGACTGAGGCGTCTGACTGACATGTGTGAGCAGTTTTGCCAGTTTTTCCGTCTTCCGGTTGTCCCGTTCGTGATATCAAACACTTGTGTGCTCAATTATCAATCAGTTTCCCTCGCATTCGCTCTCATCCTACCTCGCCCCGCCCCACTCCCCCGGTGATGTGTGTCTAGCATTATGAAGGTCTGGCAAATCGAGCCGCGCAGAATTTGCACGTGGTCGACATTTTCAGTTGTTCTCTGGACCAGACGGGGCTACATGAGCTGCGCTACTTGTGCAATTATACCGGCGGTCACATGGTCATGGGCGATAGTTTCGCATCCAGTCTATTCCAACAAACGTATCGGCGCGTGTTCAACAAAGACTCACAAGGATCATTTCTCATGGGTTTTGCTGGCCAAATGGAAGTCAAGGTGAGTCATGTCTATGTGGTGGTAGACTTGTGCCTCTCGGTTTACCCTAGCCAGCAATGTGTCCCTTACCGGGAACTATATGGTAGACTCAGATAATATTCTCTTCCAATGATAGCCCTCCGATTTCTGACTCGTATGACCTTTTTATACTGTCGACACGTTTTTCTAGCCCTCTCTCCTTTTATCAACAAAGGCCTCGTCTAAGCGACTTGCGTAGCCGATTTCACTCCGATTTTAGATTAGCTGTTTGCCGAGTGGACTGCGCATTCTCGTTTCACGGTTGAGAAATTTTCAGTGCGTTAAAAACTATAAAACTAATAGACGGATGCACTGGACGCGTTGCCCACTCAGTAGGATTGTGCAAAAGTTGTTCGCAGCACTAATTGGCTATCCAAACTTCGAATTTACTATCCGCTTTGTGGAACCTTTTGAACAAAGATGATTCCCAGGCATAATTTGTCTGAACTCAGATGTGTTTGCCAATATTTGTGCATAACTGGAAGAAACTTCACTTCAATGAGCTCATTGCCTGGTACATCGGTAAGCATAGGATAGCATTTTACTGTCATCGATTTTTCGGTTATCGGCACTACCAACAACCTCAACAATGCTTACCATTTTTAACCGGTATGTGCCCTCGGTTTCTTTAACCCGATAAGACTTCTCGTGAATTGAAAGTTTCCGGATGTATCGGACCCTGTTTCTCTGCCAACATAAAAACAAGTAACACAGGCGATCAAGAAGTTGGAATCGGTCGAACTTCGATCTGGCGCTTGAACGGTTTCACTCCGGCCACCACGTTGGGAATATTTTTCGAGGTGGCCACATCCGGCTCCGGTCCCGCACAACTTCCTCCCGGGGGTCGGGGTTACGTCCAATTTATCACACAATATCAACGTGCGAACGGACAACGCAAACTACGTGTGACCACAGCTTGTCGCAATTGGGTCGATTCGACCACACAATTGCCTCACATGATTTGTGGTTTCGACCAGGAGGCGGCCACCGTCCTGATCGCCCGAATGGCCATGTTCCGCGCAGAATCCGCGGACAGCATTGATGTCCTACGGTGCGTTTTTAGTAATCATACTTTACTTTTACAATTTGAACGGTTGTGCCCGTGGATGAAGATTGTGTCAGACTGTTTGTTTAATCGTGATCGGTTGTGGTTAGTGTATTCTAAAGAGCCTTTGGTTTGCGAACTTGTGTGTGTGTGTGTGTGTGTGTGTGTGTGTGTGTAAGAAGGTTGTGGTTTGCTCAAAATTCGTACAGCGTGGAACCCAGTCACTCGCGTAACAATTCTGTCTTAGGTGCATTAGTGGAATGGGAAGAATTTCAAACTTCAAGACTATTTCTGGTTCATTCAAGACAGAATTGCACAAATGTGCAAATTGTGAGTCACTTAATGCGCGCTGATGACAATGATGATGATACTGGAAACGATAAGCGCTTTCAAGGATTTTCACTTTTGTCCTTTTTTGTCGTCCTCACCGATCCCTGGGCAGTTACCCTTTGAGAGCAAGTTTTCCGTTTTTCACGGTGACAATATCGGCACCATAGAAATAAGATTGGGGAATAGTAATCATTTTATCATATCGTGTTTGGAACCCATTATTCACACCTCCTTTGCAGTTTTGTTTTCTAACCGAATAAAACATTTACGTCATTTTTTCTCTCAAGAAATGTACTGCGATCAATTCGGGGCACCCTCCTTTCACGAATGTTGGCGGTGTGTGTGTTTGTGTATGTAATACAATCCTTTGATCACTGAGATCGTGGCTCGTGTCACTTACGTGAGCAGACTGCACCTTCCAGTGATGTGATATATTATGGTCCTGTGCTCCACGAGGAGTAGTGTGCTGCTTTGTTCAAGCCGAAAATTCAAACCATACCTGGAAGATTCGACAATAGATGTCGGACAAGGTTCAAACTCCTGGTACTGCAGGTTCGAATTTCGACTGGAACTGGCATTACAGTCTGTAAAAGTAATGACGAGGTTATATAGCAGAACGGATGGGTTTCCATTTTTGCTTTACTCACTGCTTGTCAGTCACAACTACAGACTTCGGATGTGAATCCTAATCAGTCTCTTGCTCCGTAGTAGTAGCCGTTCATAGCAGTTTTGCCAGTTTAGAACAATCACTTGGGAAATTTTCTAAAATCCTATTTGTTTCTTGATAGAAGAGAGCGTGTTTCACGGAGCAGACGAGTTGTATGCAGGTGGACTGAGTTTCACGAGATTATGTATAATTGTTTCATCCGAATGAAAGCATGGTGCATTTATTCACAATAAGGGACTGATATTTCCGTCTGTCAGTACCATTTGCATTTCTTCCGTTAACCCTTTGAGTTGGATGTTCTCCTAACTTACCTGATTAGAAGAAAAATAAACACTAGTGGGAATAATCACCCCATAGTCACGGGGAACTATTTTCCGGCTGCGATAATCGACAATCTAAGCCTCGGGATTGGGGTATTGTAAAAGATCGCAATAAGATAGATTAGAGAAACGAATGGAACGGGTGGTGGTGACGCAGTGTTTTAGTCGCTGTTATGGATGTGCTTCGAACCGTATGGTCCGGTGTCGAATCCCGATACCCAACTTTGGTGCTGATCAGTTTTGTTGTCGTCCTGTTCAATACCGCCTAACCTAGCCGGGCCTTATATGGTTCGTCACTCCAAGTCCCGGGACTGAGGTTACCGGTTTCCATCACTGAACAGTAGATCTTCGTGACTAAAAGGTTTACCCCGTCTGCTGTTCATCACAAATAAGTAATAAAAAATTAAGAAACTAGTGCAGATGCGTTCGGCCAGAGTTCGTTGGTCATATCAGGTTTCCCGCTTCGGATTTGACCTCGTTGCATGCCAGTGATTGAAGCTGCTTAACCATCGCAACCCCGTCTGGGTATAGTTGCTATGCTCATTTGCATTTATAGCATGGCAAAACACTAAAAATTGTGAAAGTACCGTCAGTACGGTCGGAGGAGAACTGTTCTGTGCAGGGGTGCTTTTTGGGGTGATGCACGCACCTCAGATGTGCTGCTACGCATTATTTCTCCCCTTATACCGTTTGGAGCGATCCCGGACACGCTCGGTAAAAATAGAAACACAATGGTAATTTATTTTTCAAACTTTCGCACATTGTGTGATTTAGCTCAATCATTATTTTCATGTTGTACGTGAACTTGGAAACTTTCGATTTTCTTCTTACATGTTCCAGCTGGTTGGATCGACAATTGATTCGACTTTGTCACAAATTTGGCGATTATCGCAAGGACGATCCCGCCTCGTTCCGTCTCCCGGACGAGTTCTCCTTCTTCCCTCAGTTCATGTTTCACATGCGTCGATCTCAATTCCTCCAAGTTTTCAACAACAGTCCGGACGAGACAGCGTACTACCGGTCAGTCCCCAGCCTTCTTTTCTCTTCAATTTCGATCACCAATCTCATTTATCCGCACCATCATCTGTCATTAGTCGCAATCGCTTTCCGGAAAATTGACTCCACTCATTACATATCAAACAAAAGCAATGTTTTCCCGTCACAAATTGGAATACAAGTTATAAACATGGGTTTGCACAATGTATTCATGGTCATTTCGCTGCATGTCTACACGTGCATACTGCAGTCAAAGTGATTTTTATGTAGTCCGGGAGACAAAGACATGATTGCTTATCACAACGCACAACACGACACAGTAACACAAAAAAACGGGAGAGGTTGAGGGTTAATCACCAAGGCAAAGCTAATGTGACTAACCATTCACGTTATTTGCATAGATCAGGTTTGAAGGAATGAATGGCTAGAGTCTCAGCAAATTTCAGTAACTTTGTGTTTGTTGTGTTGTAGATGACCTGAAATGCGTGAGTTGGAGTGATTCAGTGTTTTTGTTCCAATACGTGTTGCACTATCGAAGATCTAATTCTTTTCTGCTCATTCGAGGACGTGACAGTTTTGCACTTGTCGTCCATCGCCACACCGGGATGTATTCGGACATTCGGTGACGTAACTGCCTCTCTGTCCTGCCTATGTGCGTGAATCATGCATGCTGTGTGATCAACTATTAAATGTGTGCCCTCACAGCCGCGGTAGCTTACTAGTGTGGCCACACACTTGTGTGGAAACACACGGCGATGATGGTGTTGAAAATTCCGTGGAGTAGGGGATCATTTGAGCAACAAATCTAATCGATTTCAGCACAGAATGCAAATAGAATGTTGTTCGCTAGTAAGTACGTATGCACTGTGCACAAAAAGGCCTGGTCGAATTCCATGGTGTTCCAGCATCACCTTTAAAGCGATTGTGCTTTTTCTCATGTGCTGACTCGAGCAATCGAACAGTGATAAGTGGCACCAGTTAATTACTCCTTTTTGCACCAGTTTTTGTATTCAGCTCATTTCGTGGACGAGTCTCACAGATACAGGCGCGGACCCTTGTAGTTAACGGTCACACTGCGCGGACCGTAGGATTTCAGTCGAAACGAAACCGTCTCATGCTTTGAACAAACGAGGAAACAGTGGACTCGGAGTGAAACAGATTTTGAGTGTAAACCATGAGCGTGGATTCAAAGAATTCTTTTCGGCTTATTCACTTATTTTCTAGAACATAGTGTTTAGTTGAACTGATCGTGGCTTAACGCATGTTTCTTACTTATCTGACAGTACTGCTTTTTGCAAACACTGTCACCGGCCTATAGCCGAATTGCTGCATGTTCACATGTGAGACACAGGTTTTCAGGATAACCAGTGCCGTGCATTGTAACAGTGATTAGCAGTAGGTAACCATGAAAGTAGCCCGAAATCTTCGGAGGTGAAACTACATATCAGACTGTTTAAGGCCGGAATGCTTGAAACAGAATGTACGCACAGTTAGATTGTGCACTCTGTGTGAGTTTCACTTTCCCCCTTTCTCAAAATAGGTCCAATCCCTGTCCACCTTGAATATTACCACTCACTTTGTGTGCACTGCGAGTTTGGCTGCGATCAGTGAAGTTCGCCTGGCCGTATTTCGCTGTGCGATGATGATAATGATGATGATGATGATGATTAAGCAATTTAACTGCATGTTAGATACTGTTGTAGTAAGTTTTAAACCTTGATTTTAGCTTTGTGATTACCGTTCGAAGTCGTTCTTCTGTTCATCAGGTGATTGCTATGGTGATTTTTGCCTAACTTCGTAATTTCATCATCCTTACTTCCCACCTAGTTTCTTCTATGACACACTTTTCGTGCCCATATGAACCTTTTTCCGCGTACCGCTGGTTGCAGTCTGTCTTCCCGTTCATCTCCTACTCTTCTTCCCGCCTTTCTCTTTTCACCAATAGCCACGTGTTGAATAACGAAGATTGCTCTAACTCGTTGCTGATGATTCAACCATCGTTGACCGCGTTCAATTTGGACGGCAGCGAGGAACCGGTACTGCTGGATACTAGCAGTTTACAACCGGAACGCGTTTTGTTGATGGACAGTTTCTTCCACATTCTAATCTACGAGGGTGACACAATTGCCAAATGGAAAAAAGCCGGATATTTGGTGAGTTTGCTGTATCCCGTCGGGCACAGTCTATGCATGGTATTGTCATATGCTTTTCTTTTCTCGATTTCGGATGCGCTTCAGTTTTGCCTTAAATGGTCCACCCTGTGTGAGACAGACTTAGATTCCAACTGAGCAATTTGACATCTTAAAAACCAGTACTAATCCGAAAAAACGTGTCGTGCATTTCTTCTTTACACATGCAATCAACCGATCCGGTCTCTTTCCCAGTGGTCATTTTGGTACAACTCGTATGTTCAGTCCGTGAAATGCCTTTTTTTATCTCCCGATTCGATTCAACAACATTGAAACAGATCACCGTGCGGTCTGTAAACAAAACCGACGATAGATGATTACAAATACAAATCTAGAAAGAAATTCATCGCTGTTTTCGACTGTTGATTTATGAAAAAATATCTAAAGCGTAGTTCTTTTCATAATGTGTCATATCTCAGTGAGTATGGGGATGGGTATACCACATAGTCACCAAGATCTCGACCGTTTATTCATGGTAACCACCAACAGAAGTCCCAGAACCGCGAACCACATGAGACCCCAATCGGGTATGCCGGAGTGCTTTTAGAGCCAGGAAACAAAGCAACTGTCTACCGCCATAGACGACTTTAGCACGATTCATAGGTTCTTCATCCTTTGATGTCCTTGATTTGAATTCAATTATTCTTATTCTAAACATTTATTTCCCGAGATATACTTGAAGAGAGAGCACGAATTTGGCCAAGGTAGGTTTCAATGCATCTCAACTGGTGCAGTATGGCAGAAAACTACAGTCGTTATCATCATCATCATCGTACAGTGAAATACAGTAAAGCAAACTTCACTTATTGCTGCCAAATTCGCAATTTATAGTTTGTGTATGCATTGGGATTTAATGGACGGATACTACCAGGATGTCCAGCCACTAAGCAAGAGAACGATTAGGGTTCTGATCCAGAGCCTTTAGTTCTAACAAGGCAGCAGGTAAAGTGAAGTAGAGGCCCATTTACTTGGATCGATTACACCTCTACCAATTTACCAACTGAGTTGCTAACTCGTGTCGAATCCCCAACCTAGAGGACCAGGAGCCTGGACTTTGTCTGGCATCTACCCATTAGCCTCTCAGTCATGATAAGATCTCCTGGCTTGACAAAAGTCATCCTGTGTAGCTCTTTGGGTCAGAGGGGCGCTCAAGCAATCACACCACGTCAAGGTGCAGTCTCGCCGTGATGAGTTTCGGTTCAGTGAAATGTTCGCTGGTGCGTTGATTGACGGTCCGCCGTTCGGGGTTGGTCCTTAGTCTCTTTTTTTATTACACACAAAGTGATTTACAGCAAAAGGGGTAAACCCCATAATCAATGATGTAATCAATGTTGTAAGGGGGAGGTATGCGGTGGGAACATTCAAGTAAGAATCAATTTGTTAACCCTGCTTTTGAAAAGGGTAAAATTATAAGAGCTGGGAAACACGGAAATAAGAAGAGTGTTCCACAATTTCGCAGTTCTCGGGAAAAAAGATGATTAAAAGATAGAAGTTCGACCTCTGGGGACAGAAACCTGATAAGGGTGATTGATCGCCTAAGGACGAGGTGGACGAGAGAAGTTTGTATTGTTGAACCGTACCTCAGGTTACGCACGAATACGACGGGGACGAATCATTACACTTTTATTCTGATTCGGTTCATCATCCTTGCGACGTCGTCTATGGATGATTTCCTACTTTTGACGATCTCCATGCCTTGTGCAACAAACTTCGAGCGTAGAAAAACATTTACACACCCGATCATGTAATGTTGCGTAATCTAAAGATTACGGGAATGAACATGAACTGGATACTTCAGCGGAAACCGGTTGATGAGGCTTCACCATGCATACAGCTTGTACAGAAAGTATATATATATATATATATATATATATATAGTTATAGTTATAGTTATGCTTAAACGGACAGTCACTTGCGGAAGTCAACTATAACGGGCGACAACTGTATTCTT